TTAGATACGTTGTGCATTTAATGTAGATTAAAATTACTTTTGATAGCATATCATTAAAATGAATATTTTAGAAGATATTAGAGATTTAAAATGCGGGGATCCAACGACCGTCGAAGTACGTACGTACGTCGATGCATGTAAAGATGTCCTATCATAATAACAGTATGATTAATGACTCGACACGGACACCAGATTACTAGTATTAGTAGTATCTACGAGTACATTGCACTCGTGCAAGTCGAGGCAGATTGCTAGTTATTTATAAAAGCTTTATAAATATTAATATGGTATCCTGAAAAACGTTGTTGAAACGCCGACAGTACACAATTAGTTTTAGAACTGAGAGATACAATACAAATACTCACATACCATTACAATTATACCGACACGACAATGTTAGCGACAAATTATATTTCTCCAGTTCAGTGTGAGCCACCCTCCGGGATTACCCCGCCCTACGCCGCAACAGAGTGACAGGTGTATCTTATATTCCACCAATATAATCTCTAATTCAGTTTTGAATTTCGTAAGAAAACAAATCCTTATACTCTTGAGACCATATAATACACCAAACACAAAATATCGATGACAATACATTTCTTTAAAGGGTTCCGTAAGTACGAATGAAAAACAGGATGCTGTTTCTATTAGATCACTGTCTGTCTATCTGCCAATCGTAGCCACTTTGCTCAAAATTTCCTTGATCGATTAAGTTTTAATTTTCGTACACATATCAACTCCCATGAAATAAACATTGTTGCGCAACATACCTTCCGTACATCTATGAAACTACTGTAAACAATTAATATTAATTTGTTTATGGATTAACAAGAATACTTCGAAGAATTCTACGTTCGTAAAATATTATGGTATACATTTCAGTGAAGTGCAAGCCTTTGGTAGTTTTAATACTACTAGTAGTTAAAATTAGTAGTAGTTTGAGTTCAAACTACAATATTAAGTTTTTTGCAAGAATATTTTAGATATATATCCTTCCTATGGCACCACTCTACGTGGGCTCAACTCGCACTTGGCCAGTTTTAGTTATTTTGGAAAATCAATATTTGAAAATAATTGATATGTTAATAATGTTAATTTTGATAGTGCAATTAACAAGGGTTTATTATTTTCCAGTTTGTAATTGGGACGGTATGAAACAAGTTTGATGTGGATACAATTCCAGTGGTTTACTGTAGGCAAATAAGATAATGGACTGTGAATTTAATAGCTGTTACAATATTTATTTGGTACTACCATTTAATATATTTTACTTAGTATTTTTAATTTTTATCCAGGTTGTTAAATGTTTGTTTTTTATTTACTTGCTTTTGGCTACATTCGCTTTCCTTACATTGATAATAAATCAATTCAAGAACTATTCTTAAACTCTGCATCAGTATCATTTAAAAAAGTACTGTAATTACTATGTCAGTAAGTAAATTTTCACTCAAAGTGTATATATTTAGAGAGTTGCCAAAGTTGAGGTGCGCAAGTGTAGTTCGGTGTCTATCAGCACTTCACACGTCATTACAAGTTTTAACTGGTCTTCGCTAAGCGTATCATGCTCGAGGGATAACGCTACCACTCACATAGAAGCAACTCGTAATATTAGGTATTTACCTATGAAATTGCCGTTTTGTATGCAATAAGTGAAAGTACTTATTTTTTCAAACTTTTTTATTTCTGTTATTCGAAGTAATCACCCATGCAATCGACGCATCATTGCCATCGCATTAGCAGTTTATTGGTGCCCTTCTTGTAGAAAACAGCTGGACGGGAGGCAACAAACTCTTCAAAGGCACTTTTTTGGGTCTCGGGAATTGAATTTTTTACCCACTAAAAAGTTGTCTAAATTTTGGAAAAAGTAATAGTCGGTAGGTGCAAGGTCTGGTGAGTATGGCGGATGAGGGAGAGCTTCCAACCCCAGCTCTTGCAGCTTGGAGACTGTCTGTTGCGCAGTATGGGGTCGCGCCTTGTCGTGAAGGAGCAGTGGGGACGACCAATTGATTAACTTTGGATTAATTGGTTTATATATTTTTTGGATTTTTCATAAGAAATGCTTCAATCGATAGAAGAATAAAAGTTATTTAGTTAAATTGCATTAAACAAGGTTGCACTAGCAGTCAGAATAAAAAATTGTATCATCATCATCCTCATCATCAACAGCCTATAACAGTCCACAGCTGGACATAGGCCTGTCCTTTGAAAGGAGGAGCTTTAATCACTGTATCTATAAGTAAAAGTTATAAACAGCCTTAAGCCAAATTCGTTTACAACAATGTTCCGAAAAGAGAGCAATCAAGTAATAGCACGGGATAACAAGTGGTAGCAAGGAAGTTAAATAATTAGTACGAGTGTGGCTGGTGGGGCGCAGTGCATGATTGACAAACCGAGCAGTCGACGTAATTAGTTCACTGAATACACTTGATGCGCTCACATTTACACCGAAGCGTTACGTGACTCTTCTAGGATCTTACGAATATTTTAAGCTTATTTGACTTTATTAGAAGAACGACGGAAAGCCTTTCCTTGAATATTATTTTATTCTTGCACAAATAAATGTGAGGAAGATAGACTTAGAGTCGCCCAAGTAGTACAAAAAGTAACTTTTAACCTTCTAAGTACTTTTTTTATGGTATAAGGGGGCAAACGAGCAGACGGGTCAACTGATAGTAAGCAACTACCGCCGCCCATGGACACCTGCAACTCAAAAATTCTACAGGATACAATTTTGTAAGTTTTGGAGGAGGCAGTATGAGTACACACATGTGTACACACATACTGCCTCCTCCAAAACTTACAAAATTGTACATAGTATTTGTACCATTATAGAAACAGCAAAAATACACCGACTGATACTCTCTCAGCCTACGTGTACTACACTTATTTCTTAACTTTATAAGCATCTTAATCCTACAGGATTAATGACGTATCGACTTGACAAGTAATCTTTGTTAGAGCAAACGACAGTACGGTGTGAGGCCAACCCGCTTCCAAGTGTGTTCGTATTCAAACGACATTACACATACATCGGCGGCAGCATAAATCGTTCGATTTGCATACATTGCGCACTGAGTGTAACGCTGTTTCTCCAAGCGGTGCCCGTGTTTTAATGCACGCAATTATTTCTCTCAGTTTGTTGTCAACGTTGTTATATCCCAACACAAACATCATAGTATTATTCAAATTGATTTTTTTTTTTTTTTTTTTTTTTTTTTTTCCCTGGGGGGAAATTGGAAATTGGTTGGGGGGGGGGGGAAAAAAAAGAAGTTGCCCGGAAAAAAGCCCGGGGAAACCGGGTTCCCCTTTAAGCGGGAAGGCCGCTTCCCCGCCTTCCCGGGTTT